TTCATAATCAATTAACCTTATCTGCAGCATTAAAGATCGCAAGCAACAGAACACCGTCGTAGCCTGGTTTACAGTTAGCGCGAAGGAGCGGAGCGAAAAGTAAAAAAAAATTGAATGCAAACAAAAAAAAACGAAAAAGAAATTTTTTAATTTGCTTTGCAAATGTGCCATCGTCAGTGGTCAGCCGTATAGGAATGTTTGTTGCCAGTGATTTTTTGCATTTTTGCTAAAGATTTCTACGGCGCGCGAGTGCGTGTCAGCATTGCTGGTGATCTGTGTGCCAGAAATCAAGCAAGTCTTGCGGGTCAAATGTGCGTGTAACACACACATTCCTCCAATTCATATATGTACATATTTTTGCATGCTTGGCGTTCACGCATACAATTTAAGCCAATGCTTCGAGCAGCGACCATAACCTTCTTTTTGAATTTTACAACAACTGCGATGAGCATGCGCCATCGTCAACCAATCAACCAATCAACCAACCCATATGCCAAGCAACAAAGCGAACCAGCGACTGAGTGACCGATTTGTATTTCCAGGCAATTATCGTGATGCATGCGGACCAACAACCGCCAGCTGTGTGTATTTATGTTGAATGAACGTGGCGGATACAGCTATTTGCAGAGAAAGACAAACGACTCAAATGCAAGACAGCCGTGTAATCTGTGCGCGGTGGACAATCAAAGGCGCGTTGATGTTGGATTGCTGATTTAATGGCTGCAGCTTTACGCAGCGGCATAAAACGCCATCGTTGTAGCAAGTTACATGGGCGCAGCTATGCAGAGCGGAAGGCGTGGAGGTGCTTTTAAAGCTGAACAGGTTGGCTTCTACTGCAAACATTTTGTTGGATTGAATATAGCATTTTGCCGAAGACTCTGCAGAATGCCCAAAACATGGCTGGTCAAAGTCAAGGTTTATTGGACAATTTTAATAAAAAGCAAGTTGTAAAAATTCTTTAAGTCTTTGCTGTTTTTATTAGTACTTTTTATTACTGATACACGATATTCAGAGATATTTTGAAGGTTAAAAATCGGTTCAACGGCACTATTCTATATTATATTTTTCTTTAATATCTGCTGTTTATGAATTGGTTGGTACGTGCCTACTATTCAGTTGTTATAGTTTTTAATTTCGAATTGAAATACCAAAATATGTAAAATTGCTTGCCATTGATGTCATCCTTAGGCAGCCAAGTTAAAAGTTTTATTTAAGCCATTTGCAAAGAGTAAGCGACTCGTAAGTTGTGGGCAAGAACAAAATCATAAATCAAAGACAGCTTAAATTACCCAAGAGTGTATGTCGGGGAAAGGAAGTGGACAAAGAGTCACCATTTTGTAAGCATACCGCCTTCAATGCACCCTGGACCATGAGGACTTTGCAATTCCGCCTGTTGTAGTTTTGACCCAATTTTCGTTGAGCTGACTTGACTGCCATCTATTTAGGTGTGAACCGCAAGTGGTCAGCGGCGCTCCTACGTATTCTCTGCCCGATAATATTGTTTCAAGGGTCTTTTGATGGAAAGCAATTTTATATCAATAGTCGCAATGGCCGAGTGAGCAAAGTACCTGTGTGCCATTCGAATTTTGAGAAATTAATTTTTTCTTCTTTTTTTAATTATTATTTTGTTAATGTAATTTTCTTTTAAATGTTTTAGATTATATTATTTTAACAAGCAAAATATTTTTTCAATTCATTTACTTTTTAGGAGTCTATTTTAGTTTAATAAATATTTAAAAAATTTTATTTTATTTTTAGTGTTTTTTTTAAGAAAACTATTTTTTAAATTTCATTTTGTTGTCAGAAAACTTATTGCTAAAACACAAACAGAACAGCCTCCTCGTCCAAAAATCTTTTAATTAGTCGTACAATGGACAAAAAAGGGCTTTCTAGACACATAGTTGCCAGAATTGATAATAGTCTTACGAAAGACTTATGCCTTTAAAAAAACTGTGGTAAATTGAAAGAGAGTTTCCATAATGGATCTTTAAATTTAATATTGATGGAGAGCTCCTGGCAGAGGACCCTCGTCACCAAACCTTCCAACAAGTTTCGGCCCATTCGTTAACAAGTTCACTGCTCCTTCCCCCAGCCTCCGCGCTTCCACCTTGAAATGGTGGCTTGTCATATTCTGAAGGAGAATTACCATCTTAAGAAAACTATGATGAAACCAAAGAGCAATGCTAGAAGGAACGTACGCGACCAGGCACGTTTAATAATTTGGAAACATTAAGCCTTTATGATGTGTACTTCTGACAATGGGTTGGCGCTAAAAACATTCGTTTTAAAAAATTAAAGAACGAAAACCCCGATTTGTTTCGGACCGCTGACTCTTTGCCGCTATGCATCCTGCAGCGGCTTGAGAGTTTGATGACGAGATGTTGCCACTTCCGAACGAAAACGGTTTTATGAGAAGCTTTTTTATGCCAAAAGTATAATCGGAGTTTTAGCATCGCTTTGGCAAAGTTTCACTTACAAAAAATTGGTTCAGTCAATCAGCTCTTCAACCACCAAACTCCTCACTAAGTTAATCCGCAAATATCGCAGTTTAGGTCAGTTAACTACGAGAAAAAAATTAAGTCAACCTCAGCACGAAATCCTATATTTTTTTATTCAACGCCAATTTTCTGTTTTCTGTTTGCGTGCCACTTCGAAAACTAGTTCCACTTGCAGTGCCAAACGTTGCCTAAATGACAGCAACAATGCGGCTCATAAAGAAGCCTCCGCCAGTATAAAAAAAAAAAACAAAAACAAAGCCAGTGGAAGACGAGTCGTTAAATAAACGCAACCTGCAATTTGCTACCAACAAAGTAAGCAATAAATAGCAGCAACAATCAACGTATCGATTGCACATTAAGAATGCCTATTACAGTTGTTGCTGCAATTTCTTGCAACAAAGTGACGCTGCCAAGCAAAAGTACCAAAGTGCATTGCATCTCCGATAAGCACAAAAGGGCTCAAGCGGAAGCAGCAACAGAAATGCGCAAAAAAAGCAGAGGTACAAAACCCGATTTGCAGCAGCAAACAAAAAACGCAAACGCAAACGTAAACGCAGTAGACGACAAGTTCGCTTGATCTTGCAGCCAGCGCTTTTGACATTCGGCATGCAGCATGCGGCAGGCTTATAGCAACTGCTTGTCTGTGTAAATAGACTAAAGCGCAGCACGATTGTTGGGCTCGACCTTGATGTAGACCTTCAAACCGTTCTATGGCGTAGAAAATCAAGGCTGACAAAGAAGTCAGTGACCCTTCTGTCTTAAGCTTTTCGCTTCGACAAAGTGCATTCATATGTATGTAGGTACTTATTATGTGTGTGTATAGAGGTATGCATGCATACATGTAGTGAAATGTCGTTTTGTATGTTTATCAATTGCAGCTGTTCAGTGAGCGTTCGAAGGCACACTCATCGCACGAATTTCATGTCGCAGCGTTTGACTCACTCAAATGTCAGCCTGAGTTATTCGCATTCGTAATGGTGTAAATGAATTTCAGTGTCATTATTGTTTTTGCTTTTTTGATTCTTATTTTAATAATCGGCTTTTGATACAGAAACAGTTTAACGCAGTCAACTGTGTTAACCTTTTTGTCCAATAAATACATATCAATTCGATTTATTTGTTCATGAGGGCGTAGATGGATTAATGGGGCAATACTTTTTGCTACTGATCAGGTTTTTACAGGCAGTAGTATTTCAGAAAAGCTGTGCGACAATGGCGTAAAAGCATAGAATCTTTAGCAAAGTTACAAGTTATGTAATAATAAAATGGGTTAAGATGGAAATCTGGTAACAGACGGGAAGAGACGACATTGGTGTGTTTAATGAAAAATAACCCTGACTAAAATCGTAAGTCGAAACTCACGCACACTCACTCGACCAAGAGGTGGTGAGGAAAACAACAACAGGACTTGAAAATTTGAAAAATATGGTTAATTCAAAAAATTATTTTTAAAATTCAGCGCAATGAATAAGGATACAAAATAAAATAGAAAATTCTGTAGAATTAAAAAAATTAAATTTTTTGATGCATCAGGACCAATAGGTATGGAATATGTCTATTTAAAATTTATTCCTTGAATATCCTTGAAGATTTGAAATAAGTATTTTTGAAAAAAATTGCATGTTATGAACTAATAAACGCGCGAGCACATCCTCGAATTTCGTCCTTCCAACTTTATAAGCATACAAATTAAAACTAATTAAATGGACACTTTCAATGCTTATTCATCCTTGTGTACTTAAAGTTTTAAATTTTATAAATTCTATAGATTTATCCCTTTCATTTGCCATTACTATTTGACTATTTTGACTATTCACTGATTTTTTTATAATTTTTTGAATTAATCTTATTTTAAAATTTCAAAGTCCTTTAAAAAAGATTCTGACGTCAGTGAGAGAAACTAAAAACTCAGTTTCACTAAATCTGGCCCATATCCCCGTGATGTATATTGATAGCTTCGTATACATAAAAATTTTCTGGTTTTTGTCGCACGGTGTATTCATACAAAAACTCTTTGTATTTGTTTGCCTACGGTCAGTCGGTGGTGGCCTTGAGCTAGTGCTGTTACCTTATTATTTTTTGTATATTTATATGCTTAAAATAAAATATGATTCTGATCCTGATTGTTTGCCTAATATTATTTCTGCGACTTTGTCAACTTTGCCGCGCTCGCTATTCTTCTGGAGATTTTTAGCGATCAAAATTTTTCAAATTTGCTTCCTTCTCTGCAATTTCCATTAAAAAGGTAATACAAAAACATAAAAATTAAAAAAAATCGGGCTCAAAAACTCTCTTCTAAATTTCATTAAAAAAAGAAATTTCATTAATAAAATTGGAATAGGAACTTTTTTTGCTTCACCTATTTAACCAAATGTATCTATATATGTATGCCTGAATGAATAAAATGTGCTAAAATTTTTAACTAATTACTTAAAAAATAAAACTTCCACAAAGATACCCTTTATTAAAGATAAATAGTTTCAGATCGCCATAAACACTCACTTTGTCGGTAATCCATGCCTTCCAGGGTATTAGCCGGTGCCGATGTCGTTGTCATCAGTGTGCCATTAAAATCTTCGGTGCTGTACTCTGTGGTACCAAAAATGCCAGTGCCTGTTGTAGAGAAACCTTCTGTGCTGAATTCGGCACTCGTCGTAGAAGAAATATCCTCCAATTCAACAGGTGACTCGGTCGTTGTCGTTGTAGTAGTTGAAGTGGTAGTAGTTGAACTAGTTGTAGTTGTAGAAGGAATAGTTGGCTTTGGTTTTGGCGTAGTTGTAGTTGTAGTTGTGGTTGTGCTTGTAGTTGGTGTTGGTGTTGTCGTTGTAATAAGTACAGGACTTTCGGTGGTTTTTGTGGGCTTCGGCTTTGGCGGTCGCGTGCTCACCACCGATGAAGGACGTTCCGGCTTGGGCATTATTGAGGTTATGTTGCTCATTACTTCGCTAATACTGGTCGAAACGGATATGAGGGTGCTGGTGGCAGGCGGTGTTGTTGTAAAAGCTGGTGAGAAAGACAAAAATATAATATTTGAAGCCATTACATTTTCGTTTCGAATTAAATACTATTTATACTTGAATACCGTTGAGGCTCCTGTAGATAACCTATTTCCTACTTAACCACTTACTTGTTTCATTTGCTCCGCTCATCGTTGCCGTAGTTTTATTGCTAATTTCCTGCTCAATAATAGTTGGTTCTGGTGCCCATTCAACGGTTGCATTCATGGTGGTCGGTTCATTGTCCACATTCGTCCACGTTATCAGACCAGGCGTTAGGGTCGTCATTTCAACAAGTGGCGGCTCAACTTTGGCAGCTTCTGTGGTGAGTGTTGCCGACTGTGGTGTAGTGCTGCTAATGGGTGCACTTGTGGTTGTAGTTGTTGTGGTAGTCTTTTGTGGTTTCGGCGTAGTTGTTGTTGTTGTAGTGGTTGTTGTAGTACTTGTTGGTTTCGTTCTTGTGGGCGGCGCTTGCGTAGTGCTTGGTCGCTTTGTGCTGACGGCTGCAGTCGTTGTAGTTGTTGGCGCCGGTGAAACCGTTGTAGGTCCTACCCCCGCTGTTGGCTTGGGCACCTTCACAATCTCGGCTGTAGGTTTAGGTCGCGGTCTCGGCGCGTGTGTCGTCTGTGCCACCGTTTCAGCAGGCGCAGGCACTCGGGTGTTCTGTATTTCGCTGGGTTGTTCGTCATTACTTATTGTTGGTGCTGGCGTCGTTGGCGTGGGACGTCGATGTATTGTGGCACTCGGAGCGCTTGCAGTGGACGTTATATTCAGCAGAATGGGTTTAACCGCTTCATTGGCATCGCTATCCACTGGACGTCTGGTGGGTTTCGAACTACCCGTTGGACGTGGCTTACTTTGTGAGGGCTTCTTGGTTGCAGTTGGTCGGCGTGTAATTAAAGGTCTCGGTCGTGTTGTTATTCTAACCGTCTCAGCTGGCTTAAGTGTTGTTGTTATGTATTGTGTAGGTGGTTCGGTTGTAGTTGGTCGTGGCCGATAACGACTCGTGGTGAGTATTGGACGCTTTGTGGTGGATGCTGCATCTAATTTGTTGTTTGCCTCGGTCGGCGCTGCTGTCGTAGTCTCTACTATTTGGAATGTGACAAATTTTGATGGCTCTGTGGTCACTTCAACGCGTGTGTCGGCCTGTATTCCCGACGTGGTGGTGAGTACAGGTCGCGCTATTGTAGTTTTGCGGCGTGGTGGCTTTATTGTGGTAGGCGCAACAGTTGGCTTGGCTGTGGTACGCACCACAAATTGGGATGTTTTGTGTGTGGTGTGTACGGGTGGTCGCCTCGGTGCAGTTGTTGTTGTGGTCTGTCTAACTGGCTTCAAGCTGCTTGTCGCGATGACGGGAGTGGTGTTTGTCTTATCGCTGCTACTGCTGCCGCTGCCGCTGCTGCTGCCATGAATGTGACTGTTTTGTTGCAAATAACTTTGTGTGACATTTTTTACCGTTTCGCTAATGCTGTTGCTGCTACTTTGTACTGTGTGGTGTGGATCGGAGGTGGTGAGCTTGAACAGCGTACTGGTGGGCAATGTAGTGGATTCGTGTGGGAAATGAGAAATTGTGTTCTGGTCGATGCTATTATCGCTGATTTCGGGCGCGAAAAGTGCTGCGTCGTCCTGTGAACAAATTTATATGAAAAAAATATGAAATGAATATAAGCAAAATATTAGAAAAGGAAGATAAATGTTGCTACTAAAAATACCAAATTTGCAAAATATATATATAAGGCTTTCGTGGCTTAATCGCGCAGCTGCTCCTCGCTAGTATTACTATGGATTACTATGGAAGTAGAGAGACAAACTGTCTATAACTCGTAGAGAAATTGAGGCTTAAGTAAATGCTTATATTTACCAAAGCATCAAAGTAATATCAAAAAATCAAAGTAAATACTCTCACATTGTTTTCTTGGCAAGCGTCGTGGCTGAATATGGCACGCGGGAGTGACAGAAGCGTGGAATTATCTGTAATAGAATTAAGCAATTTCAGCTTAAGGTTAGTAGTTTAGGGTAAAGCTAATGAAATTAGCAAAATCGGAAGTTGGGCTTTAGTCTGATGGGAGTATAGCACTGTGCCAATTTTTGGAGCATTTGTTTGGTGTCTCAGCCAAACTATGTCCTAACGGCCAAGAACAGCAGCCATTTGATATGCTCTTCCCCATAACAATTCTTTTTACAGTGGGCAAAAGTTCTTTTGATTTATCGAGTTATCATCTGCGAAGTTAGAACTCTCAACTTGGAACAATCACGTCGCTCACCAAGATACCAAAGCTGGCAAGCGCATGTAAACTGGAACACTGAGTAATAAAAAGAGTTGGCCAGGCATATCCGGGACATATCGGATAAAGCAAACGATTGTAACTTGTTCCACTGATGATTCATTGACTGAAGAGGGTACTGGGATAAATGTTTTTGGACCGACGTGGAGATACCTGGAACCTCGTATCTCATCAGATAACATCTTAATTCGTGAGGGGTATCTTAACTTATCGGAACAACCTCTAAGCTAAGATGTCATGGTCTTGCCACGGTAGACTGCTGCGTAATGAGCATCAAGTATGACTAATGGCTGCTATTTCTCTATGAAATCAATTAGAGCCACTTGTTTTATTGTGACTAAAAGCAAAAGTTTTAAGAGACACGAATCTAACTAAGTCGACCAAGCCGTCGTTAGTCGTCTCGATAATTTTTATAAACTTTTTATAAATTTATATCATCTTGGCACATCTTTGCCAATAGCCTCAAGCCCAATTCGACTTGGCTGTCGCTGAAAACATTTAAGCTCCTACCTCCAAACTTGTTTTCCCCATGTCCATGGCCTTGAGAATTGCAATTACTTAAGGTTTAGAAAACGTTATCCCCAATATAGAAGTGAAGCTTATAATCACTTTCTTCGATGTAGATTGCAGATCCCGATCACAGGTTTAGAGCTATAACTACATATTCCTCAATATGTAAGCCCGAGCTCTATATTGTCATTGAGCCAGCACTCAGTCACAGGGAACTCAACATCGTAAAATCTACTAGGAAAAGGTAATGGTGAAATACTATGTTGGGGTATTGAATATACACTTGTGTCTACAACTCTGTTTCCACATCTACCCACTCAGTGTCATACCAAAAGCGCTTTATAATAAGGCTGTATGCAGCCTTTGAGGTCTTTCAATGAAAAAAAATTTAAAGTAAAGGTATGTGTAATAGAGTATCAAGGACACCCGGCACTGTTGTAGAGAAGGCTCCCATACAGCAATCGGTAACTGTCCTTTGGAAAGCAGATATCCGACCGTGTTGAATTTCTGCTTTTAGTGAGCACAACAGAAGTGCAAATAAATTTTTTTTAACTTACATAAACATTCTTTAAAATTATTGCCTTGATTTTAGCAAACCTTTCGTGATACTGCAGTTTTTTTAAGTATCGCTTTTGAGTTTGTATTGCGCGAACTGTCACCCTGTAGCATCCTGATTTATAACAATTTCTAATACCCTAAATCATTCAATTGGCAAAGCCATACCTAACTTTGAAAAAAAACCTCTCAAAATCTGCATTTCAAAGGCAATTAGCAACTCTTGCAAATTTATATATTCTTTTGTTTACAAATATGTGCTTGAAATTAATGCAACAAACTTACCTTCAGTTGGCAACACGAACCGAAATAGAAGCGATCAATGCAAGTACCCAAATGTGTGCCATTCTGTTTGATACAATCAATGGCGAACATACAAATGCCAGAGCGACCCGACTTTCGCACAATGCAGGGCAAGTGTCGTATATTTCTACCCGATTGAACTGAAATAAAAAAAATAATATTTTCAAATTATATGTAGTTGCTAAATGGGGAACAAGAAAGTACTTAATATTAAAATATAAGCTTAAAATGTAGAAAATACAAAAGAGTTAGTCATACAAAATATTTCATTACTTCTCATTCTCTTTTACACTTAATTGTCACTTAAATATTTTGATATGCAAATAATTTTTTTTTCAGCTAGCAACCGTTCTAACCATTAATTTCTAAACCCAAACATAACCCACTTAATCCCGAATAAGCGCAAAAGGCCACGAAAATCCACTCATAAACACACGTTTCTACCATTTTTGTTGCTATATCTATACCATTTTCATATTTCCATATTTACATAAATTCTATTTTAATAGTTTTGTTTGTTGTCTTTCCAATTTGCGACTTCACAATTTCCGCTGCCTCGCGCCGCTTTTTTTATGCCTTTGATTTTAACGCCAATTTGAGTATCGGTCGGAATCCGTTAGATGTGCATAACCGTTATCATAAGTGAAAATGTACGATAAACGAAAAGACGACCAAAGAAGCTAGCAAACCAACAACTTTTGAGCAGCCCAGCTGAAATGATTGGCACGAAATTGTTGTGAACGAACGACAACGAAGACAACTCAAAAGCTGGGAATGTCGCCGTGTGTACGAGGAGAATGAAGTTAGCGTACTTATGTTTGCCAAAAATATTGTTTATGCGTTTGTAATAATTTTCTGTTAAGTTGGAAATATATATCTAATTTTTTTGTCACTTTGCATTTTGCTACTTACGGCTCGGCTCGTTCTTTCACCCATACTATGCCATCTTCGTGACTAGTTTGCGAACGTGTGTATAAAGAAAGCGTTGGTAAAGGCGACAACAACATGTTCGCATATGTACAGATGTATGCACATTAGGGTGGCCCAAAATGAGTAAAGTCGGAATTTTAATGCTTTCGCCCCCTAGGATTTTTCTATATCGAGGAAAATTATACCCCATTTTTTATTTTGAAATCAGAAAATATTTGGAGGTCGCTCAAGGTTTTCCATGTATTTTGTATGGGGAAAAAACACTTTTCGTAGAAATGGTATTGAATTCTTTAAAATCAATATTTTTGAAACTCAGATTCTCTTCAGGAATCTTTAACTAGTAATATACAATTGTTTTTTAACCATTTTTCGGGTGTTTTGGCGGACCCATAAATTATAGTTACTATAAAAAACGATTAAATAAAAAGTTGGGTATTATTATTGGGAATCTCCTGCAGAGAAGCAGAGTTTTCGAGAGCAATCGAAAAATATTGATTTTTAATAATTCGATACCATTTCTACGAAAAGTTATTTTTCCCCAAATAAAATACACGGAAAACTTTAAGCGCTTTGAGCGACCTCTAAATACCGTTTGGGTATATTTTTTCGGTATAGAAGAATCCTAGGGTCTGAGGGCATAAGAAATCCGACTTTACTTTTTCACATGCATTTTTGGACCACCCTAATGTACACACGCGAGTAAGGAAGAACAAATTCGCTAAAAGCACGCAAAACATAAAATTAACGTGACAGACAGTAGCGTGCATTATGTACCAGCAGAATTGAGTAGTCGGAGACGAAGAGAAAGTTACTGACAATAATCAACAATAAATTGAGTTGTTCAAGTAGGCAAAAAAAAAAAAAACTGATGAGTAAGACTTTTTTGTTGAGTTCCATTTGGTTGGCAGTTAAACGGTAAATTGTTTAGCCTTTATGGGAAATATGTAATAAGTGTACATATGTATGTCACTAGAAAAAATATTGAAAATACATATTCGTAATAACGCGCATTGTGTACTTGTGATGTAATGCCCAACGATTCTCTCATTTATTTTTCTAACAGAACAAAAGACTTAAGCCACGAACTTGATGCTGGCATTCAGCTGCTCTTTCGAAGAAAGTACTGTTCGATATTATGAAATGATTTCGTAGAAGTTACGAAATTGGAAACTGAAAGCTTGTGTGCGGCGCTGTTGGCATTTTTTAATGAAAGCTGCTTTGAAGTTAGAAAGAACGTAGCAGTAGCAGGAGTAATATGAAGTTCATTATGCAAGCATCCACAAATAATGTGCATTATACAAAATATGCAACAGGGGAGTAGAAATAGAGTTATTGGAGTTATTTTTCATCGCTAAAGGTGAAAAGGTGCCAAGTCCATTGTTTTTTTTTTCAAAATTTAGTTTTTGATGCAGAATGGCAGGTAATCCGAAACTACATCGAATTTTCGTCTCTACTGAACTATTTCATAAAATGCACTTGTCACCTTTTCACCCTTAGGTGACTATATGCATACTTATCCGAATAGCAAACAAAATATATCTTTCACAAACAAAATGGAAGCGTAGAATCGAGGAATAGTAAGGTATGGAAAGGCTTTGGTGCATACAGACAAATTTTAGTTAATTAGATATTAGTTAAATTTAATTTGCATATAATTTTTGAGGCAATAGTCTTCTTCCTCATTAACTGCAGAAGCTTTACAATTGGCGCTTTCTTTCCGCTCTTAGAAATCACGGATACGAAAACGACTGTTTTGTCGGAACTAACGCAAAGCAACGCCTACAGAGCGGAACACTTAAGCTATACGCCGTTTCTTTTTTGGTTTTGGTGGATTCAAGAATAAATTAGAGCAGATTGCTGGTTGTTAAGGCTCAGTTAGTCTTGACTTAATCTAAGTAACGTAACCTGATATGTTGGCCAATGCAATATGTTTTTGTTCAGGAATTTTTTATGGGGCTTATAGGCGGTAAATATTTTCACTTGTGACTAAGTGGACGTGTTGAGAAATCATTGACGATTTCTTACGTAAGTGAAGTTATGTCTCTACTAACTGAACCTTTAAAGAACTCTTGTGTTCATCATTGCTGTCAAAAGCCTCATACCTAATCCTTGTAAATGCGGGCAGAAGCACAAAAAATGTTCAGCGGTCTGATTCTCTTCAAGGCAGGAAGGCCAAATGGGGTTGCCTATCAAAGTCAAGTTTTTATGTCACGAGAAGTGACCAGTCGAAATATTCACTTAGTTTTACAGTTTAGTTTTGGACAATCGCTTCAGTGCCTTAATATGGGAGTAGGTGGGTGCAGCAATGTCTCTGTCCAAGGAAGGATAGGAAAAGAAGCTTGGAATATAGCCTTTGCTGTCGACATGAAACCTATTATCCCGGGGAAGTTTCTGAACACTCTGCATGATCTTGTGCACAAGTATCTAGAACTAGTCAGAAATTGGTCTGCTAGCTTCGGACTATCTATTTATACCAGAAAGACGATTGTATATCAGGGGACATCAGGTACCTTTCACAAATTGATTTTTAATAGCTCTACTGGAACCCAGATATGTAAATGTGGGCATCAGCTACTCTATGCTGCTGTAGAAGCGCCTTTTCTCCAAAACTAAACCACTGGATGGAAGAATTCACTAGAAAAGTCTACATATTTATGTCAAGAAGTTAGAGCCTGAGTTATTTAATTTATTTACATTTCATTTCAAAATATTGGCTGCTAATAATTCGCACTGGTAAGCTAGTATAGTTATATTTGTTCTGAAAATCGACAATTAACTTCCAAATGCGTGTTACCTCTACGATGCGACAACGATGTTAAATGTACGAGAAGCTTTGTCGTGGAAAAAATACTTCGTTACATTCGAAAGTTCTCTTAATTGTTATTGGAACGACATACGCCGGAAAAAATAAAATATTTGCTGAAGTATACATAAATACATATTTTGCTTTCAAGCGACCTATAAAATATCCATTATACTAATTTTCGCAATAATCTTTCTTCTATTGTCAGATTCTAATATGCCTATTATTTTAATTGCTTGCAGTAGAATAATACATATTCACTTCAGTGGCCATCCATAATCCAAAGAATTTCTAAATACTCTGCACATTCACCATATATGTATTTGTGCTGATGTGCCTCCTTAAGCATGGAATATGCAATAGCGGTAGCTGTGATTGCGCTACCACACTTGTGCATATCATCACCGAAATGCGGTCATAGAACGGTAAAGGGGTCAGTTAAATTGCACAGCCAATGTTAAAACCGCATAAAATGCATTAGCTAGGCTAATTAGATTTATTGCTGCCTATATGGGAAATGATAGAAGTAATTTGCGGGCATGAAAATACATACAGCAGAATGAATTGATTAATAATCTAAGTAGGACTTGAGAATTTTTGTAATTAACTGTAAGTCTGATTAATAGAAAATGTTTGTAAAAAAAAAATTTTCCATGCGAATGGGAAAATCTGTGTTTTATCAATATAATTTTAAATCAGCTGCTGATTTAGTAAAACATACGAAAAATTTAGGCAAAATGAAAAAGTTGGTTCAGTGAGCCAAACTGCTAAGGGCAAAAGCAGTTTGGTCCGTGCAGCTTGACTTAGAAGCTTTTAGAGGCTAAAGAAATTAAACTTCAGAAAAATTATCTAGACAGGTTTCTTCCAATGTAGTCAAGTGAGGGAAGAAGATTAATAAGGAGGATCACATTTCCATCTAAAGTGATATTATAAGAACAGGGATAGAGAAGGAATTTGCAACTACGATAACATAAAAAGATAAAGTTTAGGTTCAGTTATTCAAGTTTTTCTTATACCAATCTTTGAAAAAAAGTTAAAAAACAGCATTAAAAAATCTAATTTTTACGATTCCGTTAAAATTTTTTTTTTTTTTAATATTTTTATGTAAATTTTATAAGTTTAAACCGTTTTGTCACTTGAGGGAATTTTTTCAAAAAACATTTTTAAGAAACTATTTTTATTCATAAAAAACTCTATTCCTGGAGGTATTTTCAAATCGGTCCAGCTCGCTTAAATCTTAATATTTTTCCGAAATGTTTTGGTCGACGTCTTCAAATATAATAAGTTTTGCAATCCCGGCGGAAAAACTGCAACTTTTTTTGGTGATGCAGTCTATTATTTATAGATTCACATTAAATGTTGTAAAAAAGCTTTAGAAAAAGATGTTGATGGAAAAATTAAGTGTGA